ATTCCTAAAGCTCGCCCGTCTCCCCGCACGCTCTCGTCTTCTTCCTCGCTCAAACGCCCGTGCGCAGGTATACGTCCTCTCGTTTCCGCCGCTTATCGTTCCTTCCTCGTCTCCTTACCGTGCTAACAAAACCAAACTATTCTCTTCGATCGGTTATCGACCGCCCTTCTCTACTTCGTCGTACTTTTCTTCTTCTCCTTCTTCTTCTTCCCGCGTGGAAATTTAAAATGGGGATTAAAAGGGCCCCTACAGTCTTTCCCTGCTTGAATCAAGGCTTTATAGGTACATTTAAGCGCTACACGCAACACTCTTACAAATTAACGTCGGAACTTGGAAATCTGACTAGGCTCTATCTTGGTATGCCTAACTCCTGAAATGACGAATTTAGAGATCCTACTTTGATATATTTATTTAAAATATAATAAATGAAATCCTTCTCTGCTCCTTAGAATATGCTTACTAGAACCTTTTTTACAAATTTGACTACAAATTTTTATAACAATATTTATTACAATTGTTCTTGTTATATATAATGCTTCCATATATAATACTATTATCAATATCAATCGAAAATCTTTTTTCTTTAGCTAATTTATTCATTCATATTTTTTATTCAAAAAATCACAAAAAATTTTGTAATATCAAAATTTATATTTATCTTATAATTATCAATCATTAAGGCTCCTGGCCCCTTTCATTGTCTATCTCTTTTTAATGACGTCAGAAGCGAGAAAATACGTGCTAAAATTTCTTGCAAAATACGTTAAAATAAAAATATATATTCATAAAGTAACAAGCAATCAATTAAACAAATTTGTAAGATATATATTCCGTGCACTCCCCTTTTATTCTAACTACCAATAATTTATCGTAAATTAATGTGACATACAATTCATTTTTTTAACCTATTTCTTCGCCTATTTTTATTCAGGTTAATTTACAATAAATTATTGATTGTTAGAGCAAAAGAGGAGTGCATGGAATATCTTACAAATTTGTTTGATCGATTGTGTGCAAATGTTACTTTATGGATATATACTAGTATTTTTATTTTAATGTATTTTGCAATAATCAATATCAAGGCAGAAGCCTTAATTATTAACCTATAATCATTTCTTCACTGAAACCATTTCAGGAATCGACTAATTTGCCCCTGATCGAACTTTATTAGACGAAATCTCGTTTAAAATATCCACGTTAGCATTAATTCATGATCTACTCACGAAATTTTATTCAGGATATACCTATTTTGAGGCATTCCTGGCTAGAAAACCTACATATCTTGATTAATTTCTACGACTTGTTCTTCCCTCTTTTTCCTTTTTTTTTTCTCCACTTGTCACCGACCACCTGTCTATTCGCACGATCCTTCGCTTCTTCTGTTTTCTCTCAGTTCTTTTCCATTCCGCTCATTTTTGCTTGCGTCGTTTTCTGACATCGCGCACAGTCATTCGCTCGTTCTAATCAACAAATGGGTGAACCCACGCGGATAAAGGCTCGCGGATCGCGTCGTGGGAGAATGCGAACGAGGTGAGGAGGCCGTCACGTCGCCTAAGCTAAGGATGAAATATCGATCGATGTATAATAAACGTCGACGTCATTTAGCGCGCGTCTGAGAATTCACGAGATGCGAGAGCCGCAGGAGTAATTCATTTGTATTAGCATATGTTGCCATGACGATTGTGTGAGATTTCTATGTGGAATACTCGCTGGACGCGGCTTTCGCGCAGCAAAATCTCTCCGTGTCCAGCGTGCACTTCATATTAACGTATGGAGATTTAGCGACCCCTTCACGAATGCTTCGAATGTACGTTGATTTAAGACGCGGGTAGCTCGTTTGTGTTCGCTCGCTCGCGTAACACGCGGTCGCCGTCTTTTAATTATTGAACATCGGGAGGCATTGAAATCGCATAACGGTAAATCACGGCAGCGCAGCCATGGTCGCGTTATTTACGGACGTGCTCGAACGCACGGCGTGTAATTTCTCAGAGCTGGTACACGCCGGCTACGTGGACGCACGGAATAAATAGGAAATCCTCGCGAACCTCACCGCGACTTTTCTCCGTCGTTAAACCACATCGCGTCTGCTGTTTTTCCCCGACGAATACTGGGATAAACCGCGCTTTGGATCCCGCTCCCTTTGGCCGCCGGGATGTAAGACATCCGCGAGTTTCCGCTCGCGGAAACGGGGTTAATCCCGCGATCCGATAAGACCCTCTCTGCGTAAGCGGACGACGGCGATGTCATTATCTGCTAGCAGTTATAACCGGAACCTCACAGGATATCGTGTGGCGTTCTGACGAGTCGCCGTCCGCGTCCGCCGACGTCCGGTTGAAAAGCGTCGGTAGGTGGAAATCAGCGGTAACTCTTCGCCGACGCGGCGAACGATAATTCCCTTCGAGATTAGTTGGATTAATCACTCGGGATATACACGATAACAAAGCGCGATCGAATTCCAATTCCACTAGATTTTAAATTAACACGCAATTATTAATGTTTAATACGTTCGCTCATTTAATCGGCAAAAATGTTGCACTTGTAAAACACCACCAGCGCCGCAATCAATTATGTCGCGTGGGCAATTATCGGTTCAATCGTGTTATATCGGTCGTATGTACAGGGCCGCTGCTGCCATAACAACGTTTCAACAAATTTTTCTGCAACTCCATCGATTTCGTTAAACGCGTCCTCGTCGAGTTCTCCATATTCAATTTCGCATCAACCCTCGTGTGTCCGGTTTTTTACCTTCTGCTGTCTGTGGGCGCTTCTCTTTCACTTCTTCGAAGGTGAGCACACATGCGGACACATATAGACAGGTACACACACACACACACACACACACACACACACACACACACACACACACACACACACACACACACACACACACACACACACACACACACACACACACACACACACACACACACACACACACACACACACACACACACACACACACACACACACACACACACACACACACACACACACACACACACACACACACACACACACACACACACACACACACACACACACACACACACACACACACACACACACACACACACACACACACACACACACACACACACACACACACACACACACACACACACACACACACACACACACACACACACACACACACACACACACACACACACACACACACACACACACACACACACACACACACACACACACACACACACACACACACACACACACACACACACACACACACACACACACACACACACACACACACACACACACACACACACACACACACACACAAACGCACGCACGCGTATTCGTGCACGTTATATCGCGCGCGGGGGTGGCCGTGCGACTGCTTCGAGTCGAGTCGGTCTTCTTGTGCAATGCCCCTACGTAGAAGATGCCCTGGCGAGTATTGGAGAGGCATCGCAATGCCTGGAATGTTTAATACCGGGCGCAACGACACGGCACGGAGAAATGGTCGGCTTCAACCGCGGAATAAATCTCGTGGAATCATACCCGCGCCATTTCTTGTCTGCCACGTGCCCTCCGAGAAATTTTTCAGAGGCGGAAACGCTTATTGCATTTCTATACGTAACGTACTCCCTCACGTGGCGGCGCGCGACGGGCCCTGCGAGAGTCGCGCGGGGAAAGTTCATTTGCCGGGGAAAATTTGTGCCGTTCGTCCTCGCCTGGAGTTCGTGGCCGGTAATTTATATAATCGGGGCTCCAGTTGTCCGGAATGCATGTGTGGAAGAAGCGCCGCCGCAGATATGTCCTCGAGTGCGAAGAACGACGCGAACACTCGAGGCTCCTGTGCGACGATTCTTTTTCCTCGTCGCCACCCTGAGCTGTCCTTCGCATCTCCGACGGCTCATCAACGGCGCCGCGATTCAAGACGAAGGTCGATTTGTCTTTTTAGCGCGCGTCGCCGCGCCACGTACGTGCCGGCTTACCGCTTTCTTGCTCGTTAATTCCGACCTTACCGCGAGAAGGAGGACCGGCCTTTTTTCTCCCGACACCAAGTAAAACATTCCACCACTAATTACGCTCGCTTATTTGCCCCTGATCGAGCGATTTTTCTGTTCGAAAAGTGCTCTCTCTCTCTCTCTCATTTTCTCTCTTCCTCACACACATATACACACACACACACACACACACTCTCTCTCTCTCTCTCTCTCTCTCGACATTCTATCGGTCAGCCTATTAGCTGACAGTCCCGTCGTTCGAAGTGCGCGATGTTTGCTGGGAATATATGTCGGATTTAATTGCTGGCGCCAAGGGTGGACTTCGAGCGAACGACGGCGATAGAACGTCCGTTAGAATTTCATTAGGGTCGTAAGTTCGGACGCGCCAGTGTGATTCGCTTTGAAAGGGACTCGCGCTGCCGCTGAAGCTGCAGAGTTGCAACTGCAGCTGCTGCTGCGATTACTACTAAAGACTCATCTACAGCACGCGGAGTAAGCTTGGCATAAAAGTTGGAGTAAGAAATAAAAATCATTTATTTCGCTCACGCGCCTCAACTCTAGCCTCCTCGCACCGAAAGTATTTCTCTTACTTGAGAAAAATACTTTCGATGTAAAGGAGTTGAAATATAGATGTAAGCAAAGTAAAAATTTCTTACGTCAAGCTTATTCCGCGTACTGTAGATGAGCCTCAAAAAAGTAAGAAACCACTTTCAATTGTGCTTGCGGCGCCGTTTGTCCTTCCCGGCCTCACTGACCGCTGCCAAAGAGCTGTTTGTCGACTATTATACGACGGTCGTAGCGATAGAAGTCGTACGATAGACAAGCGGCCAATAGTCAGGCACAGGATCGCGTAATAACGCCATGTATCGCGGGTACGATGAAATGGAAATAATGCCCTCGCGCACAGAGTTTGGCTGCAAGTGCCGCGGAACATGGGGCGAAATCAGCTTACTCTAACTAGGTTCCACCGCGAAATTCAGCAAACAAATGCGCGCACGGACGCGACCGCGCTCGACGCCGTAATTACTTGAGTCCATCTGCGCGATCGTTTCTTCATTCTTACTTTATTCGAGTTTTATAACTCGCCGCTCGCTCGCTCGCTCGCAAATATCGCGTATTCGAATCTAGTTGCCTCGCCCGCCGCGCGGTGGTGGAGAGAGAGAAAAAGAGAAGAAAAAACACACAACATAGGCGAGTTTTTAAATTTGAGAGATTTCCCGTGCAAATGAACAATCCTCCTCCTTTTCCCCGCGTTGCGGCGGATACGCTCGTTCTCGATATTCCACGTAATTGTGCGCATTGCACGATACTCTTGTTATCTGCTCGATGATACTGCTCGTGTATTTCGACCGCGTGGGCGATCCGCCGCTTATAAACTTAGCCTCGGTGATCTTATCTTTTTCTCGAGTGTAGGGCTCGCTCATGTATTCCGGAAACTTGCTAAAGCAACCGGCGTGACTTCCACCCGACTTCTTGGGAAAGGGGATGTAGAAGCGCATCTTCTCGGATGCCTTCCTCGCAATCCCGTACGGGCGCACGTAAGTGGGTCCTGGACTTTCGTCCTTGTACGGATCCGGGGGGAAATAATCCAATGGCGCGCTGCACGTCAAAAATCGGCCTACGGGCTTCGCCTCTGTTTCAGCCAAGGTAACGGGTTTCCATTTAGAATTCGGTTAGCGAAAAGGGACTGTGATCGGTCGAATGAACATCGCGAAATTGAAGTTTCTAGGGAGATTCGCGACGCGAAATGGACAATTTTACCATATGTATATCAGAATTGCATTTAGCTTTTCTCTCTTTCTCTCTGTTGTGTTTTCGTCATTTTTGTTGTTGTTGTTCGATATTTTCCCAGCGATTTCATACGGAAATTAAAAACGCTATGCTCAAAAGCCGGCAGAGACTGCGCGCAACTCGTCATTTCTCCTTTTTTTTAACGACGGAAATATAATTAATTACACGCTAGCACATAAAATGAAGGGAGAGTCTTCCAAAAAAAAATTAATTTTTTTTAATCTGCATATGTGTCTCGCGTTCCCTCGTCATTATTTTTTAACAATGTTGTCGCGGTGAGTCGTGCACACGCATATGAGATAATTAAAAAGGAAAGGTGTGGAAAGTCAGCGACAAAATAATGTGAAACTGATGTTAGGTTAATTACCAGCAGACTGTAAAATGTATAGAAGAGTCTGTCATATCATTATTATTGATCGTCACTCGCTCATTATTTGCAAGTGATCGTTGCGGTATCGTTTAATTATTGGCAAAGTTCATAAAATACTCACTGTAATGTCAGGTCGTGCGAAATACGTCTGAGGTGAACGACAACAATTTAAAAGATGTCTGCACGAATTTTGTAATAAGAATTGTTATAGAGTTTCGTAACGGTGGAACAGATCCGATAGTAATTGACTATCCTTTCACTTCATACTTATATCTTACTTATATCATACTTATTCTGAGAACTGAAATATGCTATTAAAGAAATTGTTGTACTTCTAGCGAAATATACTACGTTTCTTAGCAAGATAGACCTTGCTGACTGAACTTGTGCTCCTGTACTAATAGAAACGTAATAAAATTTAAAAAAATTTATACGCAAGGGGAAAAAAACTACGATATTTTCCGTATATCTTCCTTTCGTGACAAAAGTGCACTACGACGACGAGCATTATTAAGTCCCGGCGCGGTACGAATCGTGCAGTATCTCGTAATGCCAGAATTATAGATTAAAGTGCTTTGTAATACGTACGACGAAACTAAAACCGAAAGAACGGAAGAAGGAAAGAAAAAGGCGGAAACTCGCTCGACAACAGCGCAGATCAAACTACGACTATACAGCCGTCCTCATCATATTCAGCTCAAGATCGAAATAAACTCGTCGTTCTGACATAAATCTCTATCGTATAAATCTTACCGCGGGATAAACAACGGAGCCTCACTTGAGTTCCGTAATGCACGGAGGAACTGCGAGAGTAAGTTTTCTCGGAAACGTCCTAACGACATCCGGTCCGAAAGTATTCCTGAAAAACGATTTCGGCGCGGAAACGATTTCTCTCTTTCTCTCGCGAGGCATCGTGCACTTCGTACACCTTATCTGACTTCGATACTCTGCGATGCGCAATGCGTTCGCATATACGCGAAAAAAAGTACTCCGCTTTTCGTAGCCATCGACGTGACGATGAAACGTTTTACATCAAGTTGTATTACGTGTATAGAGCGATATTTGATACAAAGCGACGGGATATTACGTAAAATAAACGCGGTTAAAGAAAAAGTCACAACTGCTTGTCTCGCGATAACGAGCGCAAAAAGCGTGGAGAGGAAGAGAGAAAGGGAAATAATGTGTCGTAGTGCGTTACGCCGGCTGAATAATTCGAGCGGTTTGTCAGTCAAAAAGCACGCGCACGAGCGAACGGATCGGAAGCGGCATAACGCGAAAGCCATTTACTTTTACGAAGTATTCCTTCCGCAACGTGATCGTAAGGCTCGTGGAAATACGTCGGATAAGGACTGAGGCAAATATTCGCGTATCCCGGCCCGCCGAGCGGATTCGGCTTGATCTTCATATTAGGTAGATCCGGCAGCTTTTTTTTCATTTCCATCTTCAGCGGACTGAGGTAAGAAGGCTTATCGAAACATCCGTACCAATCTCCGGGAGTCGAGTGCTTCTTCGATGGCGATGTCGGTAGCATAACACGGATCTTCCTTTCCTCGTCTCGTAACTGAAACGATCGCGCGTATACGTGAAACAAATAAAACGAATACGTAGATCGTCTCGCTTTCTCTATATATATATCTATCTCACTGTCGTGTCTCTCCTTCTCTCCCTCTCTCTCTCTCTCTCTCTCTCTCTCTCTCTCTCTCTCTCTCTCTCTTTCTCTCTCTCTTTCTCTCTCTTTTTCTCTCGCTGTTATATTCTTGCTAGAACGGAAACTATCGAACTGAAATAAATGCGATTGAGTAACTAACGATGGAAATAAAAATCTGATGGATGTGGGAGAGAGAAATCAAGAGAGCTTCAATGACACGCATCCTGTATGCGCGTTATTTAATCAAATGTAACAAATTAAACGGGACTCTCGTCAGATCGTTTAGTCAGATATGATAACAAGCCCCGAAGAACTCTCCGCATGTCATATTCGAAATCAATATTGAAATATACGATTTGTAATTACTGATCAATCGCAGTTCACATAATCAATATTCATCCGAAATATCATTATAACGAGTAACTAATGGAATTATTATTAGCTGGAATCATTATTAGCTGTCAAAGTAATTAATTGCAGTAATACTATTACGTGTTCGTCATTACAAACGTATTAGCGAATGGTGCGTCATTGAATAACGGCAATATTAGAAACACTCGACAAAATAATGTGCAGAATGTTGTAGAAGATGTCGCGCTCCTTTCGAGTTCCCTCCCAGAGAAGTCGATGTCACACGTCGATCCGGGACACCTTGTACATCGCGAATAAGTACCCGTCGCTTCGCTTCATCGCGCCACACCTCGCTGAGTGCCTCGCCTTCGAAGATTCGCTCGAATTTCTGCTCGAAGAGAAGCCTGGAAGGTCCAGCGAGGATTTGACGTCCTTTGACGGCGCTCTCACGAAATTTCACCTCGGGCCCTCGATACTCATCAAACGGGCCCGACGGTGCGTCGTCGAAGAAACCTGGAAAGCTTCATCCCATCGTGAGGAAGTCTCGGAGAGTCTCGCGATCGTGAACGGACGGAAAAGCGTGTCAATCGGACTTACCGACTCGGTTGAGATCGTGTTTCCCATAGTGACGGCCGACATCGCTGAACAACAGTGTGCCGACCGTTCTGCGTTTTCGCCTCATTCCCTCTCACGCTTTAGCCAGTAATATTTGCAATTTCCGCATCGTTATTCCGCACCGAGGAGGTAGCTTAGAAGTATCGCGTCGCGAGAAGACGACGTCCGTTCTCCGCGCGAAGTAATTCCCTGTCGCGTGGTAATGAGCGACTCATTGACGCAAAAGTATCGATTGCGATTTGACGGCATTCAGACGAGTTAAGCGTTATCGTACTTGAGAAAGCGACGCGCACGCTCCGACTATGTCACTGCTAAGTTGAGCGGCTTATTTCGTATAAGTGGCAGGCAGGAAGTCGTGTAAAAGACGGTAATCTCCTGTGACATCCGGAAAATCAGCTTAAAAGCGCAATTAATTTGCGAGCATCAAGCATATTACGTAATATATTATGTGGCGCATTTAAAAACATTTTCTTTTTATGAAGCTTTTCATAACAAATCTCGCGTGTCGTGGGAGTGCTTTCTAAATTTCTTGGAATAGAATCTCACTCAGAACTAGTGAAAAGTAGCAATATTTGCACTCGAAGTGAAAATACTGCCACTCGAAATCGCTAGAGTGAGTGTTTCACTTAAGCTTAGGGTGGATTATTTTGGCTTTATATGAGCGAATGTTTCGTCAATTGAATATGATCCTGATGATGAAGTACACAAGTCGGCATAATGAACCTTAACATTTACTCTAGGCCTGATTGCAATCGAATTTCTTAGCTACGCGCAATGTATCAACATAATCATACAGTATTAGGGTTAGGTAACATTGTAGCTTCCTCGAAATAATCAACAATCATGATGCACGAGTATGTAACAGCATTGCGTCTAATCGAGAAATTTGAGAATCATTACTTTGACGGGCTTGTAATTATATTACGAGTTATTGTTTATTATTTTTAGTGCTCTTAAATATATTACTAATTAATTAAAATATATTATTAATTATATTGTTATATCGCGTAAGAGACCGTCGGTAATGACACTGAATTTTGAGTTAGTAAATTTTCGATCTCACTGTATTGAAACCGTTTTGCGACGCACTGTACATTCAGTTGCATTGATGCTGTACCAGATCGATAGTCACTAGAAAGTTTCGACCAGCCGTGTCCGTTTCTAGCTGATCGTTTTTCATGACTGTTGATATATCCGGTTATTGATATATTGATTCATCCGGCAAGCGGGAATGTGTCAAAATAAAAATAATTTTGATAGCTTTTCGTGTAATATTTTATTTGAATATTTTCAGGTTATTTTCAAACTCTCATATTCGTTATTTGATAAGCGCTCCAAAATATTAATAAACATTCTACTTTACTATATTAGAAAAAAATATTTTAAGTAAAAAAAATATTTAAAAATATTTTTTATTTACTTTTAACATTCTTACTCTTCTTCTACTGATTTCGCGTTACACGTGAGCGGATAACCTTCTGATAAAAACTGTATGTAAGAAACGTCAAACTTTCAAAATGTCACTCCTGTTTTGACACATTCCCGCTTGCCTGATGAATCAACAGTCATGAAAAACGATCAGCTAGAAATGGACATGGGTGGTTGAAATTTTCTAGTGATTATCAATCTAGTGAATGGTATAGCATCATGCAACTGAGTGTACATAAGATTCACTTGACAATTCGGTGTGGAGAATTCACTCGAATACAAAAAATCACTCAAATACGAGCGACTCAACTTTTTGAGTGAAATTTCACTACAAGGAATTCAGAGAGTAGCAGAGCGAGGTGTGTAACGATGCACAACGCAGATCGATCGAGTATCTTAAGTACTGGAGATAGACTTATGGGTAATTGACCCGGTTACACCGTCAATAATGGATCGTCCTTAATGAGTTGACGTTCGTACTACGGATATATCTACGGTATTCTCGTTGCGGCAACAGTGGAAACATTTCATTACCGCCTGTTTGGAGAGACCGCACAGACCATGAAGGAAACTCCACACTCGCGAGAAAGCGTACGTATCCCGGTCCTGTTAATGTTGGGATGAAGAAGTTACTGTACTAAGCCTGTGTTCCTCGGAGGAACGATAATAAAGGCGCGCCCTGAGATGTAGGCATGACGGTTACATATATCCTAATTACTAATTAAACGCTTGCGTTCCGTACAAATGAACGGCTAATAATTTAATCGCGAACGAACGGGAGTTTATTCACGAGGGGGATGATTCAGGGTGGAACTCGAGAGAGCTCGAAGATGATCGATTTTAGGCCGATAAAAATTTGGCGCAATTTAAAGTCAAATCAGGTTTAGATCTAAAGTCAGATTAGGCCGCCGTTGTACAGGAACGACAATGGAAGATACGCGTCGCGGCGATAAAGAGCCCGAGGAGAGCATTTTTGACAAACTTATCGAATCGAGATAATTTCGTTTTAACAACGTTCTCCTCGTTTCCCTCCCGATCCGATTTGGCGTCGGTGCCGTCCGACCGAAAGTTCTCGCTCCAAAAAGCCGGAGTTCATCTTCGCCCACGGTCGTGCGTATGTGTCAACCTGGTAATTTCCACAGTTCCTATCTAGCACGATGCTTCCGCGCGATCTACCATACAGTTCGCGAAGCGGGGCGACAACGGCCGCGATAATAACTAAACTTTCGATTGCCAAGGCAAGCCATTAAGATAAGACTCGAGGCAGCTAAGGGGACGCCCGCTTCCGAGCGGGAGTAGTTGCGGAATCTGTAAGGAGCCAAACGAAGGCTGTGGCGGAAAGCGGTAAACGGAAAAACGGAGAGCGGCGGAGGAGAGAGTCGATGGAAAGAAATCGTCGGCCGGAAGAACGCGTAGGAACGGGAGAATGAGAAACGAAACGGATAAAAGAGCGAGGAAGAGAGGACCGGGGGCAAACGAGTAAGGGGAGAATGACGACGACGACCGCGGTGGCGACTGCGCGGGGATGAACGAAGGCGGAGGCGAAAGTGGTAGGAAAGTCGATGGAGATGTCAGCGGTGAAAAAAGAAAAATGTTGATATACATCGGCCGCGCGATAAGGCGGCAGATCGATTAAGATTAAACGCCCGGTCGCCGAGTTTAAGACAAGTTACATTGGAAACTCCGGGATTGGCTTCCGCGGAATTGAAATCAAGGACGTGACCATTTAATTTGCAAATGGAAGGAGAACGATTGGCTTGACTCAGCTCGGCTCGGCTCGGCTCGGTTCAGCCTGGCTGATTCGACTCGATGTATCCGATATCACAGAGAGAAGTCACGATAGTTGTGCGTTGTTTGGTTACCGGATATCTGCCAGGATTCGAGTACGCATTATTGTTCACCGACGTAACCTACGGTGCCCTTTGGAAATGAAACCCTGCAACGCGCCGGCATAGCGCGAACGATAAAGATTATCGCCGCGCGGAAATAGTCCCTTTCGGCCGATTTCACTGAATCACGTTTGATTCGTTCGCGAGGATTTCACTTTATTTCTTATTCATCTTGTCGCGGCACACTGTTAATTAGACGAGAATTTTTGCGCGGGTGAAGAAGCAGGTATTTGGACGTATATGATATCTCGTGCCTCCATCAATCGCTTCCTCAAGACTGCACTGAGAATCGCGTATTTTCTTCATTATTATCTCACATCGTGCGCGCTTCGGTGAGAATCAAAGTCGAGAAGCTGAAGCCGTTGAGCGATCTCTCGATTGTCTAGATCTCAAATTCCAACCGTCTTGATCCGATCTCATTAACGCGAGAGGTTGACGTTGGAAATTTTTCTCCAACGAGCGCGTAGCTTAAATCCCATTACATTCTAGAAGATCGCAGACAGAGGAATATTGAGAGAAAAAATGAGAAGTGAAGAACGAACTGAATCATCATTCAGAGTCGAGCACGCGAAAAACTTTCCCCGCCAAAGCTCCCGAAATTTTTACTCGCTCGTTCAGAATCTCGCGCTACTTCCCGTGTCTGGCAACATTTGCCGGGAAAACAGCGGCGAAGCAGACGACAATAGTCATAAATGAGATATACACGCGGACGCGCATGTTATCTATATCCCGTAAAGGGCGCGTGCCCCGAGTCCAATAGGAACTGCAGAATTATCGATACCGCGGTAGCGTTGCGGCACCATGTTCGTTAATTCGACGTTAGCCTAAGGGGGTTTAAATAATTAATCTAGCTGACCCCTCGCCCTCACGATTAAACACTACAATTAAGCCGCAGCTTCGCCGGCCGCGCTTACCGGCGACCACATCGTCTTTCTATATTCCCGTTCCCCTAGAGAGAGGGGGAATGAGTTCGAGAGAGAGAGAGAGAGAGAGAGAGAGAGAAGGGAGAAAGAGAAAGCGTGCGGATCAGTATGCAGTTACAAACGAATCCTTCGTCCAAACTCCCTTCGGTCGCGCAAATAGACGAGTCGCATTCAACGTATTTTGAGGGTAGCGCAATTTCGGATCGCAAGAAAGAGTACGATCACGCCGAGTTCTCTCCGAATCGCTCGCGTCGCTTGTTAAGAAGTAATTTGGAGTAAGCGGAAAGGTAGGGGGATCACATCGTAACCGAAACTACGTATCTCCCCGGCGATGCTGAAGCGTTTGCTACTCTTGTTCTATCTACCCCGCTAGCGTAGTCAAAGAGCCGAGCTGTTTATACTGACCGAGTGTCGCGATTGTTGGCAAATTGGTGGCGGCCGGATCTGTCAGCGATGGTCGAGGTTTGATGAAGTAATGGACGTTCTCTGTCGGCGTGTTGACTCGACCAGGCGATATACATTGTAATGGTACGTACACAATGCCAACGGGCAACGCGACCCGTGACTGGCAATACGCGCCCGGCTTTGTACATGGACCCTCGCGCGTGTGCGTACACACACGTGGTGTACGCGCACAATGCGTACCAACGACGACCCTGACGTAAGCTATCGGCTGTTCTTGTCTCCATCGTCCTGTCGGCAAACGTTCTCTTCCGTAAAATGTGATCCGCGCGTCTGCACTTTCGCTCGGGCTGCACTTCCGCGGAACGCCGTCGGAGACTGGAACTGTGAGCGAGCTAATTTTGTTAATTAACTTCGCGAATTCGTAAGGATCGGCGCGACGGTGCGTGTCCGGACGTCGGCGGGAAAAAAGCGATCGCAGGCCGAATAGAAGTCGCGAGGGTGTGCGATTTTTATGAGCGCAACGTGATATCGCGAACTGGCGGTGGCGGCTTTTTTTCCGAACGGGAGCGAGTCGACTGCGTCGAGATGATACATAGCCCTCCAACCAACGGTATGCACCAGAAGATTCCACGCGTCGCGTATCCACTACGTGCCGCCGCAGTGCGAAATTATGACAAAGGGTTTATGTCTTTCTCTGCTCTGCCATCTCGCAAAAAGAGAATGCTCGTGCGCGAGTGCTGGGACAATGGAGCTATGAGGAAGTGTGCGACAGCATGGTCGAGTGCTGTGCCGAAATAAAGCGGTTTGTTTCGCCGACATTGTTTTAGGAATACCTACGTCGGGGTTGGCTTGGTTGATATTTCCCTTGATCAAGGGAAGTATCAAGGGAAGTATCGCCGCAAACGCTGACAAAGTGAGAGAAAGGGAAAAACACATTTAGTATTATCGCGCGTTTC